GACGTGGTCGACCAACAATCGATGGAAATACTGCACGAGGTGCATCATCGCCTGCAAAACCAGCTTTGCACATACCACTGCCATTGTCGATAACAAGTGCTGCTACGTCGTCGTCACACATGTTGGAAAGTTAATCAAAACGAAATTTAAGATGAAAATATAACAACAGTTGCCTATTCGCGTTTCTCTCGGTCGACGAATAATGCGCGCGCTCTGTTTTTGCTCTTCACATTTCTTTTTTCTTTCTCTTTCGCTCTTTCTCTTTCTCTCTCTCTCTCTCTCGCTCGCAGATTTCAACTATTCTATTACTTTGTATGTTTTGACCGACGATTACCATATACGGACGTGTATAGGGTAGACGCGAGCGGAGAGAGAGTGAGCAAAGAAGAAAAACGTTGGCCATTGTTTTAATTGAATAGCGTAGTTTGATCAACGAAAGGATGATGAAGAAGAACAGGAAAACGAATGTTTGCCTATCGGTCAAATCAAACTAGTTGTTGTTCTTCGTTGAAGACGACCAAGCCTGACCGAGAAAAGGTTAATAGAGCAAGAAGAAAGCGTTTGTCATGATACTTATAGTTATTTCTTTTTCCGGTACTTGCCAATTTTTTTTGTTACTCGCGAGACATAGTAAATAACGTCTTCTGTGTTAAATTGTTCAAACAGATGGCCTCATTTTCTCATGAATAAATTGCACATTTGTTCATGTGACTTTTCTATGTCGTTATTTTGCATAGACGACGGTATCTTGAAATCAATTAGATCAATTGAAATATTAATAGAATTTCCAAATGGCTAATTCTTGATGACATTGTCCAAAAGTATTAACTTCATTAAAGCATAAACTTTATCGTATAGTCTATCGATCGAGCTAAAAAGATCTTCTGTTTTTTTTTTATTTGAAAATAATGAAGACAATAAAATCTTAATTGATGCATATAATCAATAGATTATTGGAAAAAAATGAGAAGAAATTAAGATTTAATTAGAAATTCAATCATTTTTCGATTTTGTTGTAAATCGATCATCTTTTGTGTTAATTCGTCTAGTGGATCATCTAATCCATCGTCAAAATCCGTTGCTTGTCGTGTCCATGAATTATCGTATTCGAGTTTATATGCGCCTAAAAATCGATGTGGACAACCATCATTTTTTGCAGTAGTCAACCAATCTTGTGGATGCATAATTGATAAATATTTTTGTCCGTTTTTTCTTTCATAATAATAATAGATTTGTCCGGCTCGTCGAACTAGATTGCACGCCGAATGATTCAATTCATCATCTCGTCGTGCTTTTATTAAAATACGTTGTGTTTCTTGACGCAAAAAGTTCACTTGATTGACAATAACTTGCAACCGGTTAGACACGTTGGCACGAACAAATGCATCGCATGTTTCGATTTGTCGAGCTAAACTAACAAGATCCTGAGGATCAGAAACCCTATCGTTTTGTGTATTAATAATTACATGGCCAAATGGACGTTTATCGCTTTCAACTAATTGGACACATGTCTCACGTGATGTTGGCCCAAGTACATTCGCTAAGACGAGATCACGAATTATTGGCTGTGAATCCATTTAAAAAATCGATGCTAGCCTTGAAAATAAAATAAAATACTGAATATCAATATCGACAAGAAAAAACATTGTCGATGCATGCGCTTATGCAACCTGTAAAAGCATTTTTATCAAATGACGGCATTCGAACTATGTTATTGTGAGCATGACACTAGCATTCGATAGATACCGCTCTTATCTAAGTGCCTCTTCAAATATCAAGCGTTTATATCTTACAGGTTTTTTTTATTAAAATAACCTGAAAATTTCGTTATAGCATTCATGAATATTGAAGTCATTTATTTCAAAATGTAAATTGTAAAAGTTAAATTTCGACTATTTCGACAATCAGTCGCAACTATTTTCGACCGTATCTATTCTTATCAATCAAAGCAATAATTTCTGATTCAAAGAACCAGCACAACCAATTTTTCTTGAAATTCTATCGAAAAAAAAAAATAAATAAGAAAAACCTACTCAAGTAACGTCGATGGTTTTAACTAGTTCACAAAATTCATAGTCTTATTTTAATTTACTTTCGATAGGATAGAAAAAAGATGTACCGATCGATGAAACTATCTTCAGTATTTTTCAAGCTGTACGACGTTTTTGTTATTATTGAAGTGTTTTGTTCTTCGAGTGTACGCTTCATTAAGCATATTTATCATACTTAATCACTTATTTTTATCTAGTCTGCGATCTACTATTTGTTTTCAAATGGATAAACACCCAATCTTCATTTATTATAGTGAACAATTAATGCAATAAATCAAAGTATATCCTCAGAGAAGATTCGATAAGGTGTTCAAAGAAAATCGATAACTTCTCCGATATCGTTTTTTACGTTAAACGTATAAATGATGTTTTCTCTCTCTCTCGAATACAATTAAATAATTCAAACAACAGTGACAATAGAAAATAAGTTGACTATCATTTAAGAAATGTCGAAGATCGCACTGATTTTCTATAATGATCCAATGCATCTTCATTGCTATACATAAATAGACGTGATGAACTTTTCGATTGATATTTGGGTTCTTCTATTGGTGTTGGAAGAAGTTTTTGCGGCAATTCTTCAGTTTTTGAAAGTAATGAAACTAAATAGTTTTGTTGATGTTGCGATGATTGATTATCATGCATTGTAAAATTTTCCAATCGCTGATTTCCTCGTAATGTATGCAGTGAACTTGATCTTCTATGTCTACCATAAGATTCACTTAACTGTAGATAAATTTCTTTTCGTAATATCGGACTCAATATAACATAGAGTGTTGGTGAAAAATAGATTTTGTCTGATTAAAAAAAATTAATGTCGAATTATCACGACCATGATCATTGATTAATTTAAATGATATTAAAGAATAATAGAGATGTCGTGAAACGTATGTTATTAACAACCATAATGATTGGCATAGTAATGCTAATGTCGTTTCATTTGCTAAAGAAAGTTTTAAACGACGAGATTTATTGCCAAGAAGAATTGATGATACTCGTTTAAGAAAACGTTTATGTCTATGACAAATATATATATCAAGAATTAAAATAAGTAGAATAGGAAGTATAAATGAATTTGAATGTGTCAAAATTTTCATGCGATCTGTTGCTAAACGTGAGTAACGATGTAAGAGAACGTTCAAGTGAGTGTAAAAGCATAATCCAAAGTGATGTCGTGGATAATGATTGTTGTAAATACTGTATATATTTACAGAAATGTATTGGATTCACGATATAAAAAAACTAGATAACACCATGAATAACTAAAGTAAAATAAAAAAATAAGAAAACTTGAACTAAACTCCTGTTTTTCTAGCGGTAACCTTTGCAAAAGTAGAAATTCTAAAGCATTATTAATACAGGAATGTTCTACAGACTATTTAGGAAATATATAGGACACTAATCTTCACTAAAACAGTCTTTAGAGTCCTCTTAAAAAATATTAAAAAAAAAACATTATAGATTGAAAGTAGTTTTTTTTACTGTATGCACTGCGTGAACTAAACAAAAGAATATTTTCAATTTGTTTGTAGAAGAAAAACGAGGTTGGATTTAATATCAACTTGTACTATATTCATAAGAATCTGCAGTTTTTCAAGCAAAAATAGTTCCACTATGAAGCCTGTAGGGTTCTTACCTTAAAATACTTGCACAATTGGCAAGTACAAAAGCATAGATATAACAACGAAATGAACTCTCTTGAAAAGTTTTCGAAACTGTAAATATTAACAATCCAAGAATATTAATAATTAAACTGAGAGCTCCTAATAAGAGGGGAATTAGATTTAAAATTGACGATCCAATCGATTGTCTTTGTGGTAAAAACAATGTGCGATTGATAAATAAACCAGAAGCAGAAGCAACATATTTTATGGCATCATTCAATGACGCGAAGGATTCTGTTGTATTTGCGTCCATATTCCATCAGAAAACGTCAAATGAATCTTAAATTAAACAAACAAATTCTTAAACTACATATTGTTACAATAGAGAGTTTGTGAAAACAATACTTTTCTCACTGACTATACTTATTAGTTGAGTATAAATTGTCAGCTGTACTAGGCAATTTACTTATACGAATGCTCGAGAGTTTTAATATGCATGCAGACTTTATATAAACTCTGGTGGACACCCTGAGCAATTCTTTTTATTTTTGCTTTTCCAGGCTTATTCCTAGGCGAATAGCCGTTTACGCTGAATACAAAATCAATTATGTTAGCGAGCTAACATATAAATAACTAGACTCAAGCTATTTATTTATTCCAGGAAAATGGACGTGTTGATAGTTAAAAAAAGCTCATATCGAAGTAAATAAATTCTAATTTTCTTTTTTTCTTACAGTTTTCTATTAGAACAACAGGTTTAACATGGCCCGTCAAAATTCGAGCGGTAATGCAAAATAGCGAAGACAGTACGAAGAATTCATTAAAGCAAAAGTAACATTCTCTTTTTCCAATCTTGAGATATTCCTGTTTAACTGCTCACAGACGTGAATAGTTTCTAGTGTTGTGCCAATATTGATGGCACGCTTCGGTGATTCTCCTTCCTTCTCTTTCCATTGTTCAAATATATATCTCTCCTATATATACGTGTGTTATGTAATTATGTATCAAGTCGTTACACTCTGGATATGTGAAGAAGCGAACAAACATCCTTGCCCTGAGTGGCGGTAAGCTATTCCACTTCTATCCAGTTGGTCTCAATACATCAACTAGCAAGAGTCATATTTTATCGTTACACAAGTGTAATTATCAATGCTACAGATTTTGATTACTTAATAGAATCTACAGAAGATTTTATTAATTTTTTCTCGAACTGAAAATTAGAAAAAGAATTTAGATAACAATACCGATTGTTCGAGCACGATGTCTAAGTCTATTGCATATTTCGTAAGATATTATCTCAATTTTGCATTTCATTTTATTTTATTATTCCTATTATTGAAATTAAAAATAAATGGAAGACGATGAATTATTATCATACGAATGATTCTTCTCTAATTGCCATGACATTGGAAAGTTTTCTTTTTCATTTGATAAAAAAATAGCGCAGGTACTAGAATAAAATATATGGTTCCTAGAATTTTCCATAAACAACTAGAATACACTAGTAACTAGGATAGGACGAGAGGGAGGAAATACTCAATACTGCTCATTGAGTATTCGTTTGCCGTAGTTAGAATGTAGCGCAAGTATCATTGATGAATACTCGAAAAAAACGAGTACTCATGAGTAGACTCTCAAGAGTTTGATTCGACGAATATAAATACCAGATAAATGCCATGTATTCCATCCAATTGTAGTATATCCTTAGAGACATGCATGTGAATGTTGCATTAATGTGATAGAACAAAATCTTACCGGATAGTAATGGGTCGTTTTTTGAGTGACATATTCTAATAATTATTTGTGGTAGCTGTTATTGAATGTATTTGAAGAAGATCGTTGTTGATAGAAAACGATAAGTTATACAGCGAGTTTCGTTCCTTTTTTTCCAGTGATTCCGTGTTAAACTCGTTTACCATTTGATTTTCACCATAATAAGTGACAAGAGAGTTTTACTTTCCTTTTTAGATTCTATCTTTCCTTGTATTCATCAACAGCATCAGAAAATTAAGTCCGACAACTTCCTGATAACATCTGAAGGAAGTAATTAGATTCGAAATATAAAGCGGTAAAATAAAAAACCAAAGGCTCAATAAATATATCATGGATACGTATACGAAAAACAAAATCACCCAATTTCCTCTTATTCTTTATGAACAATCATTGTCTGTAACATGCCGAACACGATTTTATTTTTTAGCTTCATTTCTTGGTCACATGAAATGCTAAGAAAAATAAAACTACATCACTTATGAGCGGACCTTCGTGAGAAACGTTCTCAAAAACTAAAGCGCATTACAAGCATAAAACGAGATTATTAATGAAGTATTAAAGAACACTATGAATAAAGATAATCATGCCAACGTGATGGATTGAAAGCAGAAACACAACTAAAAACAATGGGAGACATGTTCAAGAAGCCATTCAAGTCAGTTTAACAAGATCATTAATTCTCAGGCCGCCGACAGATATCAACATGCGCTCTAACTAATGGACGTAGTTGGTACCCTGCAAGGAAAATAGCATATAGATATATCTAGATTTATCTAACGTAAGTATGCGAATTCGGCGAAAACTAAACTTTTGAAAAAAAAAAGAAATCATTATTTAATTATGTAAAATAATCTAAATTACAAACGAAGTACGAACATCAATTAAACTTGATCATACGATAAAATAATTATTAAAAAAAACAAGGGCGCATTTTTGTTTTTTTCTAAACATGACCCGATTGACTAAAACACAAATCATATAACTGAGTACGAATGTTTTGCAGTTAGGCTCAACCATCATTCAAAACTAATGATTTACATTTCATGAAGAAATATACGATAGACTAGACGAGTGTGAAGAGAATTTATCAATATATAAATATCAGTTTATGCAATACAATGGTCATCGCGATACCACTAAAAGCACGGCATAATGCTATGTACAATATATAATAATACTTTTCGTAATCGGAAGATGTTTATCTATGTAATTTGATTGAAAAATAGAAATAGCCCGAAACTTCACATTATCTAAGAAAAATCCAAATCTATCACGCACGTGGAACCCTACCGTTACGATAAATAATTATATTCATTATGTAGCCACAAAACGGTGTAATAAAAAGCTAGACTTCCTGCTTGACTATCAACGTCAGAATGTATACTAGTTTTTTAATATTCCAAAGGAAAAAAAACGATGTACTTTATAAGGACTTGAAAGAAAAATTAGTTTTTATTTAATTAGAGAAAAATTAATAAATATTTCCGGAATGAAAATTCGAATGGATCAGTTAAAAAACTAATACAAATAAACAAGTTTACTTATGAAATCACATAGCTATATTGACGTACAGTATTAATATTTACTTTTAAAAAAAAGACTTGATGTTCCCATTGATCATCATAAAAATTAAAGATAGAAAAAACGTTCGTCATATTTTAATTCAATATACGTACATTATATTAACAAGATAAAAACGAATCTAAATAAAATTTATAGTACTCTAATTCTTAACTATTGTCTTTAGCAACCAAATATTGAGTTGCGCGAATATTTAACAAAAGAAAACGATGTTAAATTCAATGCATGTCAATATAGCTAATAACCGTTGGGGACTTAAAGTTCTTTATAATCCTATATCAGCTAATCAATCGACATATATAATTCAAACAGTTCCAAGTTCTCGAACGACACGACCACAAACAGTCATTGAAATAAACTCTTCTATACAAACCAATTCATTAATTGTTGTTCGGCAACATTTATTAAATGATACCATAGCGACAATTGTTCAATCAACTATATCATCATTGGATAACAATCAAATACTTACAGCTGATATTATAGCACAAACAATTCAATATAATCAAATTAATAGTTCACCACAGTGTTCGATTTGTTTAGGAGACTTTAATCTATCGGATATACTACTACAATTAACATGTAAACATATTTATCATCGTGAATGTCTTCTTCATTGGTTACAAACGCATAATCGTTGTCCATATTGTCGATTTCTTGTCTATCAACAACCTGTAACGCCGCATATTTTTCTCATAAGACAAACAATAACATAGATAAATGTTTTCTCTCTTACCTTCCTATTAATATGAGTCAAATTCAATTTGATATGTACTAAAAGCAGAAACAGGAAACTTGTGATGTTTTCTTATGTATGAGATAAAATAATTGAAAGTGAGCTATTTTTTTATCTTATAGAGATAAGCAAACATTTAGAATTTTGTAATAGGAGAATAATGAATGATATCGAGCTACAATCAATGAAAGAACTATATTTAGATGGAGACTAACTGTACTCAAATATTGAAACAACACTAAACGATAAACCGAAGATAGCGATGATTAGTGTATTTTGTCATCTCGATATAAATCATGTATGATATTTGTTGTTTGTTCTCCAAACATTTCTCTGATGAATTGCATGATACCAACCGAGTCGAATCATAATTACAAATGATGACTATCGGGAAGTTTTCAATCTCGAATGGGTCAATTTGCATTATGTTCTTGTTCCATGCCTTGAGTCTTTATTCACTGAAAACATATTCTATGACTACTGCTTGATCTTCATGCGTAGTCATTCGACCCTACATACTAAACAACGATTTTTACGTACTTCATCACGCAAGTTCGTCTGGCTGCACCGATGCTCTTTATCTATTTAAGCACACCGTACTAAATGGTCAATAAATAAAAAGAAACAAGTTTTTTTTATCCTTTGACTTAAATGATGAATCATCTCGAATTCATATGGTTTATTTCGATAGTATTGCAGCTGATATCACTCGAGGCGTTATAGGATTCAACAAATCAGTCAAATACTTTTATCAGATTCATGCATTAGTTAAATAAGTAATCATTTCGTTTAAATGTATTTTCCCCAACATCTATTCAGTATAGTATTAATATACTACTATATCAAACATACGTCTATTGTGTCTATAGGTTATACGACTTTTAAACAAGAACATGAAGTCTCATAGTAAAATTATCACCGGCACCCTATGATTTATTTCCCAGTTGAATTAATTTATGAAGCATTTCAGGCAAAAATTTACTAAGAATGCGTATAGAGTCTTGCCAATTAGTTAAATAAATTATTGAAAGAGATCATTGATACAATAACTAATAAATAGATGAATTCAAAGATTTCATCGAAACTTAATCCTAAATTACACAGCTGATTTCCTTCGTTTTTTTGTAAACAATCAATTGAGAAATTCATACGAATAAGCTTGCGAGGCATTTTTCTATCAACATTCATAAGTCAGGTCACCAACACTTGAAGTTAGCCAATAAACGGCTAACAACAAAGTTTTTCGCTTGCACGCAAAGTATACAGAATAACAAAAAAAGGAAAATAATAAGATAAAGCAACTCGAAAACAACTTTCTTATCATTTTCTTTTATATGTACGCGGTTACATAAAAGTGAAGATATATATATATCGTTGCCATTGAGCATAGTTGCAAATTCTTGATTGCTGTTCGTCGGCTTCTTTCGTACACATAAATTGAACATTTCTTCGAAATATGGCTGTACATGCTCGCACGCCTTTATCGAGTATTTTTCTCATTCTTGCTCTCTATTTTTTGCAAGGCATGAATCTTGGAATTACGGGTAGCATTCCGCTATTTTTAATTGCCCATGGTGCTACATGGAAAGATCGAGGTATATTCAATTTCGCTTTTTATCCATTCTCATTGAAACTTATTTGGGCACCATTGATTGATGCTCTCTATGTTAAACGCTTTGGTAGAAGAAAATCGTGGCTCATTCCTATTCAATTCAGCGCGGCTGTGATTTTACTTTTCCTATCGTTCTATGTGGAATCGTTTGTTGAAAATCTTCGTGTTATATTACTTGCTGTCATTTTCTTTGCTATCGTTGTTCTCACCGCAACCCAAGACATATGTGTTGATGGTTTAGCTATTTCACTATTTACTGCAACGAATCCTCAATGGGCGTCCACATCGCAAACCGTAGGACAAACTATGGGTCGTTTTATGGGTTCCTCGTTTCTGTTGACATTTGAATCGGCAAATTTCACCAACCGATTCATTCGTGAACCACTTTCAATAACTCCCAAAGAATCAGGCTTATTCTCACTTCAACAATTTGTACGGTTCGCAGCTCTGGCTTTTCTAATTGTTACCACATGTCTGATCTTTTTTTTTCGAGAAAAAGAAAATTTACCAACTGCCGACGGTGAAAAAACAGAGAGTCTATCTTTAACTGAAGCGTATCTTTCAATCTTCAAACTTTTCAAAAAGAAGTGTATTCAACAGTTGACTCTGGTTTCACTTCTTGCCCCTATGGGAGCGGTTGCTGTTAATTATATGACCTCGTTGGCACTAGTAAAGTAAGTGTAAAAACTTTTAAACGTATTATAATCCGAATTCAAGATTATAGGATATGAAAGATGCTTTCAACTGAAAAAGTCTACACGTCAGCAGGAATTTAGAGAAATCTTATTAAAATACTCTTCGACAGTTTCATTTTCGAAAGAATTTATTCAGTAAATAACTGATAACAATAATTTGTTTTCGTCATTTATTTTTTTATCCTAAAACATTAAAGTGGCATTTTATGATAATTCCATGCACAATATCACAAAACTTTCGTAGTAACCATTAATGATGGGAACTTTTATATGCGCGATAATAGATTTGATTATTCTAAAAATGACCGGTGTTTCCTCTCGGAAATTATTCTTTCTATTTTCTTTCCAGTCAAGGTGTCCCACGAGAAAATTTAGCTCTTGTCAGCATACCAGTGACCATCGTCACAATTGTAGCTCCTCTAGCTATTCGCCATACAGAATCACCTCTCAGATGGTTTGCTGGCTCATATATCGCGTACATTATGACTGGTATCCCCGTCGCTGCTTACGTCTATTATACTCCTAACATGATCTCAACGAGCTACTATTATCCAATACTTATTCTACTTCTTGCATTGAACGAATTTTGTAATGCATTAAGATTCTCTGCTCAAATCGGATTCTTTGCTGCAATCAGTGAACCACGTATTGGCGGCACTTATATGACACTACTCGTTACTTTACACAATGCAGGATTCGCGATTCATTCAACAATCGTTCTTTATGTAGCAAACTGGTTGCCAAAGAATTATGACTTTGTTATAGCAACAGGTGCATGTACCATTATTGGCATTATCTGGCTTGGATTTTCGTTTCGAACTTTAAAGTGGTTACAAGAAATACCCACACATGAATGGTATTTATTACCAATACAACACTTAGATGATGCAGTGAAGTCGAACGAACAAGGTCCAAACGATCATCGAGCATCATTGATGGCGGATGAATGAACGAGCCGGATTATTTAGATTTTGTAAAAACTTTTAAATTTAGGGTGTGGGTGTCAGTGTGGATGTAGAGAACGAATTATCACACGCAAACCCCATATATCCACACCCACACACAACTCGATCAAAACGGCCGAAAGTCTTCAATTAAGCTAACCTCACATAAATTTTTTCTTGGCTCCAATCAATCAAACAAACGCATTTTATTTCGTATGACCCTCCCTTCAGTCGAGGGAAAACTAAAAAATTGTTGCTTCTCGCCAACGTAGAAATCTTCATGAACTTGATACGAAATAGATGATGAAAAGAGGAGAAAGTTACTCATCAGATCATGATTATGCATCACATCTAGAAATTGTTTACTCTGAATTTCTTTCAATGTTTATCCTTTATTGAAAAAGAAAAGAGCATTATTACATAAAAATATTCAATCGAAAATCAGTTTTTCATTGATGTTTTCATTCTCTGAGAACACCTTCCCAGTTTAGTATCCAATTGCATTGTGATGCTGTATCAAGAATTTCTTGTGCTGTCAAACCAGGTAATCGCATTTTGACGTTAAATTCGTTCGATGTTGGATTATAGATTGCTGATGAACCTGTTGCAGCAAGATTTCCACAAGTACCACTCAAACTTGTGAAGTAGAGAGGTGTACCTTCAAATTGGCACTCTGATGTATCAACTCGAACTATTATCGTGTTTGAATCGAAAATATCCATGGCATCACGTACTGATGTACCAGCACATGTATATGATTCGACGTGATTACTCCATACTGGATGCTTGGCATCTGTTGTTGTTGTGTAGCAGAGTGCCATCAAAACGAGAAAAACAACACCACAAATCATTTCTTTTGTTGCTCTATATTTGAAACAGATTGCAACTGCATATACATATACATATATGCGAACACAGTTTGTCGACTTAATACTTTTTGATAAATGTGTCTTTCTTATCAGAGCTCATGTTTCAATTATCAATTTTGAAAACAGGTGCGAAATGATATTGTGTTTCATTTTTAAACTTTCAAAATGTGCATTCACTACGGTGTAGACTTTGCTATATCATTCTTGACGTGCATAATATCGTAGGGTGTGTATTTATCATAATGTCATTGCACATGTAAAAAAGATCATTTAGCACTCAGTCACATTAAAATCGATCGATGCAATGATATAATATTTTTGATTTTAATCGATTTTAAATGTATCTGGATTACATTCTCACCAGGGCTCCTAATGGAATGGGATTATCCCATCCCATCCCATCCCATGGGGCAACTTGTTTTTTTGAGATATCCCATGGGATGGGATGGGATGAGTTCCTAATCCCATGGGAAATGTGATTACTTTTTTAAAGAAAAATTATTATTCATTTATGTCACACTTGACAATAGGTGAAAAGTGTGAATACTATCATTCTTTTTCTGTACTGGTCATTAACCCAACTCCGAGCTCTATTCGAACAATTGAATAAAAAATACGATAAAACANTTCAAACTTTCAATTTGCATTACACAAATTCTAAGAATAGATTTGAAAAAGAGTTCAAAACTGAACAGAAAAATATGAAGAGATGTTCAATAGATAATTCTCACTACCGGACACGTCAATTTTAAGTAGGGAAAAGATCCAATCCCGTCAATTTCTTGAATTTTTTATCCAATTTTTACATGTTCTCAGCATTGGGAGTTATGGATTTAGCTTTTTTACTTATTTTTTTTCTGTTCAGTTTTGAACATTCTTTTCAAATCTATTCTTAGACTTTGTGTAATGCAAACTGCAAGTCTGAAACTGAATTGGATTTGACCGAAAATGACTTGAAAATTCAAATTCTGAGTCAAATCCGAAAACGTTTTTTAATCTTTCATAAATCTCAGCTATCGTTTTACATATAGCAAAAAAATGGTCTTTGCTGATATATGGAATCAGAGGACCGCTCCAATCTACATTAGGCCAATATTCAAATCGGAATGCTGGAAAACTTCGAATTTCAAGTTACAAAAAAAAGAAACCTTGATTTTCAGTAAGATTTTTCGTAATATAGCGAATCCCATGGGAGCCCATGGGATGGAATGGGATGAAAATTATTTTTTGATAAATCCCATGGGATCGGATGGGACGACTTGCATTATCCCACGGGACGAAAATTTCGTCCCATCCCATCCCATTAGGAGCCCTGATTCTCACCTTCACACCTCTCAAGGAATTATACCACTAAGTATAATCGTAAAACTACTATTGTAAATTGGGTGAAGTGTGGGTTGGGTGAGGGGTGTCTGGGTTCGAGTATCTTTTCTTGCCTAACATTGACATCCATCCACACCCACTGTCAAGGTCTTCGAATGAGTCGATATCGCCTATTTCTGAATGTTTAAAATATATAGGATACATCTATTTCAATAGCAAAATTAATTATTTTGTTGACTCGAATTGAATTTTCCTTCATATTCATTTCATTTGAAAACGATCAACATAAGTCACTCGTGCATACATTGCACCATGCATAACGAAACTGATAACTAGAAATTATTTTTCAGTAAATTACGTCACCGTTGTGCATCGAGCGTGCGTGTATTTATTGAAAAAACAAAGACACCTAGGCCTATGACAGTTCAGAACTGAGAACTGTAGTCGTTTTTCCTAGCCAGTTTCTTTCTAAAGAACTAGTTCGAAGAACTGGTAGCTGTCGCAGATCTAAAGACACCCACACCCTTTTTATTCATGCTTTTAATCGCTTGTATGAGCTGTTAACTAAGGGTCGGAATGGATCACAAGATCTTCCTTTAGCATTTGGTAATTAGTTGCAGATGTTTTCGGTAGGATCTGTGTTATAGTATGTGGCTTAATCCGGCAAGTAGGATCGTTCCATTTTGATATGATCCGATTGGTTCTGGTGATACTGATTAAGCCGGATCTATCATGAAATCGAGCGTCATATGGCACGGCGGATTCCGGTAAAGTTTCGCTACCGGATATTTTCCGGCAATGTAAATCTGGTCGGTTCTCGGAGAATCCGGTAACCAGATTTCATAAGAAAACAAAGAAAATCATCGGAATTCACCAGAAATTAACCGACCGAATCCGGTCACCATGTTACATCG